TTCTACCATCCACGAAGATAAGGGACTTCTCATTTTCCCTCACATCAGAAACTCTATCCTACTCAGACACCAAGATGTGCATGGTTCTTCTGGGCAGTTGCATATTATGATTGGCTTAACACTGAGCTAAGAGCAGTCAACTAACTAGATATAAATCGCATGTGCAATTCTTAAGCCAGGTCTCCCCCACCCTGCAGAGTTTTGTGGTTATGCCTGTCTTGTTGAACCTGTCCTATTATATCTGACTAAGGCACACCTGATGGCACAATTCCAGGAGTTCCATTTACATCATCACCTCTGTCAACGGCACCTCCTGGAGATGTACTGTGCACAGTTTCTATGGCCATAGGTGACAGCCCTGCATACCCTTGAAAATATTTTTTTGAATCCTGAATAATTTATTCAATGTATTACACATCCCGGAGCTTAATGACATCCTAAATATCATAGGATCTTGCCAAGTGCAGTGCATTGAAGCTACGAGATATATAAGGACAAGAGCTGTTGCATACATTGGGAGGGGGGACGCTGAGGGTGGAGAATGATAAAATCTGTTTCTGGCAGGTGGGAAAAGAATGAATAAGGAAAATATAAACAAAATATGGATAGCTAAGTGTTTGCTGGTGTAGGAAAATAAACTTTTACTTTGTAGTAGGCATTTAGAAAAAGGTTTTAGCTCCTTTAAATCCCTGTTTGGGAGTAGTTCATCAGTTTTGTTTTTCTTTTAAAGTTTCCTGTCTTTCAGTGGTATGTGAAGACTCTTGTATTAAAAACATGTGCTCTCATAAGTCATTCTTTCCAGTGACAAAGCCGATTTGGTCTATTGCAAATGAGTAAACCCAAATTTATACAACTCTTTTATGTCTTTGTATTTATAGCCTCTGCCATTTTCAATAAAGAAAAAAGTTATCAAGTCAGACTAAGAAGCTACATCTGAAGTTGAACTTGCCTCTAGGGCAGTGGACATCTCTGGTTCTGGATCACCTGAGAACTTGTTAGAAATGTCGGTTCTCTGGCCTTGCCTACTAATCAGAAACTGGGCAGGAAGCCCAGTAATTTATATTTCAACAAGCCTTTCAAGTAATCTGATACAATGAAAATTTGTGAAACTTTGACCTAGAAAATCTGTGGTAATAAAAATGTTTCTTCAGTAATTAAATAGCAAGCAATAGTCGCAGAGTATGTAGGTAAAAGAAATGGTAATTTCTTTTTAATTTCAACATAGTTGCTCTAAAAGTGTTTTATATTTTTCAAAATTCACTGGCAATGATAATTTCTCATATCCACTTCTCCCCTTGTTTTCATCTTATATTATTTATTACCAGGGAAAGCTTTCTCTGTCGTTAAAAACAGGCACATGGAGAAATAAAGCATTATCACACTGAGCTCCTACAGTCTTATTTTTTGTATCTGCAGAAAATATTTGCATTACAGAACTGTCCTTCTCTTGGTACATATGAGTTCTCTATGCAGAGTTTCTACTGATGGTAAAGTGAAGAACCAACGTAACTCATTTTGCAGTGAGATAAGGGAAGAAATGAAAAATGTTTAGACAAGTGGTTCTCCGCCAGGGGCAATGTCTGGAGATATCCATATGGTGGGGGAGGGATGCTACCCACATCTGGTGAATAAAGGCCAAGGAGGCTGATAAAAATCCTGCAATGCCTAGGAAATCTCCCACACCCATAATTATCTGGTCCAAAATATCAATAGTGCTTCTGTTGAGAAACCTTGTCCTAGAGAAAAATAAAGTCCTATCTCATCAAATTAAGTTAGTCATAGTTACTATAATTTCCATGTTACCCACTTGGGAAGCCAAAGCCTTCCATCATAGCTGTAAAACCCTAGAACATGAATTAAATTCCCTTTCTTATAATCAAAAGCCCCACTTCCAAACCAATCCTCAAGCCCTGAAGAGAGCTTTCCTTCTCAGTGCAGAAGATACGGCTAATTATTACAGACCAGTATTGAACCCTCTTTTAGGAGCTCACATTTTCGCACTGGCATTTTGAGTTCCATGGCACATTGCCTTGTGGGAATGTTCAGCTCTTAGTCAACTTCTTTTTCTGAAAAACGTTGTTTACTTGAAATGAGACTTCATCATGAAAAAACAAGCATTTATTTCACCATCTGTACGTTTATTGCTCCGAACAAGATTCCTTTTCACATTGCATCTTTTTCTCAATTTCTATTATGATTGAACCCTATCGATCAGGTTGATAAGATACTAAAGCACAGCCCAGTTTCTAAACAAAACATATTTTCCATTAGTAAACATCTTTCAATGGTCCTTTCAACAACTTCTACAACAGCTCTGAAAATGTTTTCTGAAGGGCATGTGATGACTTTTTCCTTTCTTAGCCAAAGGATGTTTTGGGGCTTCTCTGGCTAAAGAAGCCATTCAAAATTTAGTAGAACTGTGCAACATAAAATTTAACAAAGGACAAATGTTGTGTGTGTATGTGATTTATCTGGAAATATAAAGAGCAGACTAGGAATACTGTATTTCTATGCAATCTGATTTGAATTTTCATGAAGTTACATCCTTTGGGCACTGTCTGTAGAAAGCAGGCAGGTGACACACAGCTGCATCCCCCTGCTCCTGAAGATTCTAAGAGAGGCAATTTGACACGAAGCCTAATTAACTCGGCAACGTTTGATCACAGATATTTTTATTAAGAGCATACGTACCACCCACCTGCAAACTCTAATGTTAGCCATGGATCTCTTCACACAGCATTAAGACAAGAAATACCAAACTCCATTGTAACAGAATGGTCTACAGAAGTACCGGGAAAATAACCATGCAAATCCTCACGTGTGCTGATTCCTCTCACTTTTTGTCTTAGGGAATAACATTCTACCCTAAATCCACATTCGTGATATTACACTGCTCTGTGTTTTCCATACTATTATGTAAATGATGACAATAATAGGGGCAATTCAGATCTTGATGCTGTTTAGCTGTATTTGGAGTCCCTGAAACATATGTCAAAATTTAACATGAAGATGATCACAAAATTGCTGTTTAATTGTTTTTTAAAAAAATTAATTTCTCCTAGATGTGTCCTCGATATTTGGGGACTGAAATATGCCCCGAATAAGGAGCCAGTGTTTAATTCTGGAAACTGATAATCTCCTGATTTTTCCTATTTCATTAAAATGTCCACCTTTAACTGAGGAGGTGACCATCTTTTAAATATTTTCATCAAAATGTACTTCAAACTAAAAAGTTAAACAACTTCTAAGATCTATGTAAGATTTGCATTTTTAACCTTAAGGCAGTGGGTCAGGCTTTTTGGAGCCAAGACCTTCTACATGTTTAATTTATAGAAATACTCATTTCTAGTAAACATCACTATACACATTTCCATATGACGTTTCAAACATTAATCTGAGTAAATATTTCTTTTTTGAGTTGTTTGATATCCTAGAAAAACTAGAAAGCCAGTTTAGGGGTATAATTAAAAATTTAAAAGCTTTGTTTCATAAACATATTTTAGGGTGTGTATAATATCTTGTTTGTTTGTTTTTTTTAACATTAAGTCTACTATGTCTTCAAGAGCAAATTTTATTTTCTCTAGAATACCACTGACTGCCTTTAATAATAGGATCTAGCTGTTTATCTGCAGTAGATTTCTTCCACTCTCTCACTTCTGCCAGTTCTTTTGAGAACACTCAGAAGTGGAAGATAGGGATTTTTCTTCTTCATTTGTTTAAGAGTGCAACGTTAGTGATGGAAAACAACTTCTGAATTTCCAATATGCTTAGGACAACTTACCTTCTTTTCTTCTGAGTGATTCTTTTTGTTCTAATTATAACTATAGAACTATGAGTAATATATAATTGTAATACAAAAAAAGTCAAAAAGGGGGTTGTACTTATATACAAAAATAATATTCATTCATGTGCATCATTTGTATATGGTTTACATACTTTATACAATGATTAAAGGATGTTTTGCTATATGAATAATATCCCCAGGTAATTTCAATATATATTATAGCCTATTGAATAATAGTGATATTTTACTGCATATATATTTTCATGATGATATCTATTCTCAAACGTTTCTAACCAGTTTTGGGGAAAGTATATTCTTTATCTAAAAATAGGCAAAACTACAAATTAAACCAATGGCACTTATAGACAAGCAGAACGACTTAGATTATTTTCTGGGCTTCATTTTCTTTGTTTCAATTTGAGAGCTGTGTTACAAAATTTCTATGATTTCAAAATTTCTATGATTTCTTCCAGACGTATGACTCGGTTAATTCCAATAACAGATATTGGGTTATAAAGAGAAGGCCAAATTATGAATTGAAACACCCAGGATCACAGCGACTATTATGGCACCTATATCTCATCATTTTATGAGGGATTTGTTACTATTATAATTTATTCTTCAAATCACTCCACATATGGATGTTTGATTGCCTGATATCCATATGTGCATACGTGTTCTTTAAAACCATTCCAGGGGAGGGACTTTTTCTGAAAATCTACAGCCACAGCATGTCCAGAAATGAACAAGGTCAAGTAAGGATGCTCCTGAGATGCAGTGTCTCTTTTTAAAACACGTTCTTTGTTGCCTGGGAAGCCCCAGCATGGAGCAGTAGTCAGAGGCCAAGCCACTAGTGTTTAAAATAAAAAGTAAAAACGGTGAAAAAATGGGAGGAAGGAAAGTAATATGTGGAATTGCCAAATACAGGGATGGAGTCAACTGGTATGGGGAAAGGAAACATAGACAAGCAGGAAAAGGACCCAGCAAGTAATCCCGACCGTGTAGTGAGTCTACACCGCTGAGTCACGTGTATACTGTAAAGTCCCCTCTTCCCAGACTCTATGCTTAAGTGACTGTATCTTTAAACTGCCTGATCCAACAGCTGATTCAGTTGCCACCACAGAAATAGAAATTATAGCTTTCAACCCTTCATTTTATCCCTCTTACCTATAATCCTCTAGTTCCAGTCTGTCTGACCACTTGACAACGTTGTTGGTTTTTTTCTTTCTTTTTTTAATTAGCATAGCTTTGGGGGACTACTTAAATATGCTTTACACATAGATAACAGTAGACACCTCTGGAAACTCTTGATGAGAAAAAAAAATCCTGCTGGGAATATAAAATGGCACAGAGAACACACAGAAGGGATTCTCATAATTGAGATTGTCATGTGTCTTATTAAAAGCCATCATTTACCTGGAGGTCTTTCTTTAAAGCCTAAGATTCTTCACAGATTTTACGTAGGGATATCTTTTCAAAGGCTCACTGATCTACTTTCACATGTGTGTTGTTTGCTTGGGTCCTTCAAAGGGCTTCAAAGTTTACTTTCATATTTAAAACGAGTAATGATGAAGGCTATTATTTGAATGCAATGCCTTCAGTGAGACCAAGATGCTTATTATAATTGCCCTGATGAGACGGTCAAAGCCTCTCATGGCTCGCAGGCTCCTCTAATGTGTACTTAGGTGTCCTGCCGGATGGCTCGCCTCAGTGATGTGGCATAGATTTGACGAAAGGACGGTAAACAACATCAATTATAAAAGACATATGTTAATGAGAAGAAGGAAAGGAAGAGAGAGAGGGACTAGGGGGAGAAAAAAGAAGAATTATCTGCAGTACAAAGAACAAAGCATTTCAACTGAACTCAAAGAAATGACGTACCTGAATCACGTCCTAATTTTAGGGTATAACTATGCTCTTTGGAGTATATGTCTTTGGAGACATAACACATTTCTTCAACTTTTGTGGGACTGTTATTGAAGGTGTAGATCAAACTGCCTTCAGTTTCCGTTATGGACTTATTAGTAATTTTGCCATGATCCCTGTACAAAACAAAGATGTTATGTAAAACTCAGGTCATGTTAAGCAAATTAGCTAAAATTGATTTTTATCCTCTTATGGAAATGTTTTCCAATCCAGCAATCCATAGAGATCTGTCAACTTTTCGTATCCTAAATTTTCCTTTTTCTAAGACTACTAATTTAGCCCAGAAAACATTGTTTGCCCATCTCTCCATAAAATAACAACCAGAGACCCCTGAAAAGGTAAAACAAATAGTTTTGCCTACCTCCACTATGCTAATTAATTATAAGGATTACTTTTCCTTTGGAGGTATTTCCCATGTGTAAAACGGTTTTAAAATATTAAATACTATTAGTACAACTCATAAATAAGTCTAGATTTTATTCCCAAACCCGTTAAATATATTGCTTTATTTTTTATCTAATTTCTCTAAAGAGACTAACTTATCTATCTAAATAATACTGTGCTATATTTATATCATTCTTCTAGTCTATGATAATGGTTGAATCTTCAAAAATAGAAATATTGAATGTGATTAAGCCATGTGGTTTTCTGCCTTTCAATGAAACTAAATGAAGACAAGCTAATGTGGGTTTTTTTTTCCCCCTTTTTACTGTCGAATCAGAGAATCCTGGTATTAGGTTTAAAAAAAAATACTGTAAGAGACAGCGTTTAGAATTTATGAGTTTGTTAGACAATGTTAGACAACTCATTTCTTCAGTTAGACAATGTATTCTCCCCTTAGGAATGTATTTCTGCTACTTTTATTGTAAAAGACCATCAATATTTTCTGTCCACGTAACAATATGTTTCATTCCCGTACTTTTCCTCTGTGCTCCTTGGCAGCTGGAGTGAGGCTCTCGAGAGTGCTCAGGGGCACAACTGAAGGTGTGTGAATACCCCTTGGCTGAAACTACAAGGGAGAAGAATGTTGAACAGCCTCCCACGTGCCCCCTGCTATTCCCAAACCTTCCCAGGCAGAGGCCGTGGCTGTGGCAGCGAGGGGGTTGCTTAGCACGGCTCCTGTTTTCTGGCTGGGGTTTTGGGCATCACTCTGTGCATACCCACTTAGCAGGAAAACGACTGACAAGGGGAGAAAGAGTTCATATAAAGAAATACGTCAGATATGCTTTAAGAAACTTAAAATCGCTCTGTCAGTTTTAACATTACGGAAGGCTGAAACATTCTGAAAAGGCCATGCATACACATATCAACTGGTCTGCGGTGTGGTGATTGCCTAGCTTTTGACTAATTTATTTTCCTGAATTCACCAGGGACTTCCTATTTCTACTTATGACACTGAATTGTTCTCCATGTGAAATTTAAAGTTTTCAAACACAATGGAAGTCGAACACACCCCCTCCCCCTATGCACTCACATATGTCAGCATTTTGGAGTCCATGCTGCCTTTGCAGGTTCATCCCCAAACAACTTTCTATGACTGGCAAAATTCCTCCTATGATAGATAGGGAAACTGAGGCTCAGAGATTCACTAAAGTTACAGAGTGATTGAATATGCATAAAAGGTTATGCTCCCAAGGGTGTGGAGAAAAGGGAACCCTCCTACATGGATGGTGGGAATGTAAGTTGGTGCAGCCACTATGGAAAACACTATGGAGATTCCTTAAAAAAACTAAAAACAGAGCTACCATATGATCCAGCAATCCCACTCCTGGGCATATATCTGAAGAAAACTCTAATTCAAAAAGATACATGCACCTCAGTGTTCATTGCAGTACTATTTACAATAGCCAGGACATGGAAGCAACCTAAATGTCCATCAACAGAAGAATGGATAAAAAACATGTGGTACTTATATACAATGGAATATTACTCAGCCATAAAAAGAATGAAATAATGCCATTTGCAGCAACATGCATTGACCTAGAGATTATCATACAAACTGAAGTGAGTCAGAAAGAGAAAGACAAATACAATATGATATCATTTATATGTGGAATCTACAATATGGCACAAATGAACCTATCTGTGAAACAGAAAGAGACTCACAGACATAGAGAACAGACTTGTGGTTGCCAAGGGAGAGGGGGGTTGGGGGAGGGATGGAGTGGGAGTTTGGGATTAGCAGATGTAAGCTTTCATGTATAGAATGGATAAACAACAAGGTCTTACTGTATAGCAAAAGGAACTATACTCAATACCTTGTGATAAACCATAATGGAAAAGAATATATAAAAAAGAATGTACATGTATATATAATTGAATCACTTTGCTGTACAGCAGAAATTAACACAACATTGTAAAGCAACTATACTTCAATTAAAAAAAATTTTTTTTAAGTTATACTCCCAAACAAGCACTCCATCCACCATACTCCCTTCTCATGGCAAATAAATGGGTGCTGGGGACACTTAGATTATTGTTAATGCCACAAATAAATCTCAATGTTATGAACTCATGTTATAAATTTACCGTATTTTGATTAGATTGGAAAGGATAGCTAGAAAGTATTTTGACCCGAATACTGTGATGGGAATAAAGAATGTATGTGAAACATTTTAATGGTCATAGAATTTATCTACTATTCTCATTTTCCACTCAGCCATCCTTTATTAGATTGCGAAGTCAATTTTTAGTTGTTTTTCTCTCTGCTATTCCTATTAACTAAAGAAATGTAAGAATAGCAGGAGCTTGGAAGGGAATGGTAGAGGACAAAGGATGTCCTAAATTTTTAAAAAAATAATTTTTGTAAAGTTTTTAAATTAAGTCTTCCCCAGGGCAATGTCTTGGTCTATAGCCCCTGACAGCTACTATTAATTACATTTTAACCTGTTAATGGTCTGACACTTTCCAGTGTATTTAAGCCCATCCCAAGTATTCCACAAGGATTGAACCCATTTACGAAGAACAGAGAACTGTTGAATGGATTGGGCTGGGGATGCAAGCAGACTCATTTTGGGAGAGAAATATTTACTAAAGGTTTCAGTGGAGCCATCAAAGCCCAGGATATTTGAGTAAGACAAAATTCTATCAAATGGTCCATTTAAATCTTCTTATAGGGTTCTCCTGTTTAAAAGTGGTCCCATGGTCGCTTTTCATATACAACTGAATGTACCTCTGCATGGTGTATGAAACAAAAGAAGTACAAACACACACAAAAGTTGACAAGCTAAGAAGGAAGGTGGGAGAAATCTTCCTCCCTTGCTTTAAAAGATTATGATAAATTAAAACTGCAAACTTTGGGGACTTCCCTGGTGGTCCAGTGGTTAGGAATCAGCCTTGCAATGCAAGGGATTCTGGTTCAATCCCTGGTTGGGGATCTAAGATTCCACATGCCACGGGGCAACTAAACCCTTGTGCCTCAACTACTGAGCCCACATGCTGCAAACTACAGAGCCCACGTGCTCAGGAGCCCTCGTGCCACAACAAAAAATCCCACATGCGGCAACAAAAGACCCTGTGTGCTGCAACTAAGACCCGAAGCAGCCAAAAATAAATAAATAAGTAAAATGTAAAAATTTAAAAAAGAACCAACCACTATCTATAAAAAAATAAATAAATGAAAAAAAAAATAAAGCTGCAAACTTTCTCTCTCCCTCTCCCTCTCCCTTGCTCTCTCTCTATGTATCTACAATACATTTAGAGCATCACTTGAATATATGTTATAAATTAATTCCCTAATTCATTTTGGGAGTTTTTTTTCACACATTTCTCTTTTCACCTGCAAATGTCACCCTGAATTTAGAGAGGAAGAAAAGCATGACCTTCCATAGTCAATGACGATCTTTCTTTGTTTCCCAGTCCCAGCCTTTGCACCTACATACTGCCCCGGTGCGGTATGGAGGCCAACCAGACAGCTCTCACTGCTAGATGCCAGAGAGACTGTGGAAGCCAGAGACCCTGGGCTCACAGGCTGAAACTTGCTTGCTTGGCAAGGCTCAGATGCCATGGTTTGAATCTCTAATAAACAGCTCGCTGCCTCGCCAGTAATGTACCCTGGGGCTGCTGGGAGGGGATTCTTTTTATAGAAAACATAAGGATTTAATATCTCTATGAACTCTTTGATTTAATAGAGTTTTGGGTTGTTTTTTTTTTTTAACTTTCCCCTTTATTTTGTAGACTCTGTGATGTGAACCAGTGTTAATCCTTGATGCGGCAGGAGGATGTAATCAACATCTCTCTACTGGGCTCAAGATTCTTTTTCCTTTTTAACCATGTGCTTAAAAGAAGCATAAGATATCTTGCCACCGAATGTCTTTTTACAGACTGAAAAGACTTTTAGGTTAAACAACATTTGTGAGGTTTTTGATGTAATCAAATGCAATTTCAATCTTCTTGAAAGATCCAGCCCTGCCTCTCGAAAATTCCTCATATGTGTCAGCTTTCCATCTTTCTCACTGGTGTTTTACACATGAAGTCTATTTTCACTGAGAAAATGGAATCTTTGTGTCTTTGTCTCTGAGAGTGCTGCTCTCAGGCATGTTCTGGCAGGGGCTTTGACTGTCGAGGCTCTGGGGGAGGGGCCTGGCAGTCATTTGTCAGCTGTTCTTGCATCTGTAATTTCTGGCCACTCAGCAGTATTAGGGGGTCTCAGAAAGGGGGTGAAGAGGGTTGAGAGGAGAGCTTGTCACTGATGAAAGCCAAACTCCGCATAACTGCCTGAATTAATGACCAAAGAGAGAGAGAGAGGGGAGTCTGAAGAACTTTTATTGTGCCTTAATGAAAAAGATTTTTTGGAAATGGCTAATTTACAAAATTGCACATGGTAACATTTTCAGATCTCAGTTGAGAAAGCCCCTGTCCATATTCTGTTACCGATTTCATTGCTTTTAGCTTGGCATTGGCTCATGAAACTATTTTAATTTTCCACCAGTGGCTTCTGGTTATTTCTGTCCTTATTTCCTCGTAACGTAACTGACAGGCCAATTAAACATCCACAGTTTTTTAATCTGGATTTTCCCCCATAACTATTTTGCTTTTCTTCTAAAACTTCCAGATGTTTTGGCTCCTTTAGGATTTGACGGCATGCAACTATACTTGCTCCTATTTCAAAGACAGA